TGAGAGGACTCCGGCTAGGAATTATACTAATTTCATACGTGTTCAAATTCTAAATCTGACTACTGGCATGTGTAGGGTCATTACTGTTTATTTACAGATATGGCAGGAACCATAACTGGAATTACCACCAGCGAAATCCAACCCCTAGGGGGGTGCGAGGAGTGACTAAGCGAGACCAATACCATTATACACACACTTACACAGCAGTTTTAATTGCATACATGTAGTAAGAATACTTTAGTTATGTCGTGGTAGTGTGAAGTTAGTCAATAAAATACTATGCATGTATGTTAAGGAAACACAGGGAAGAAGTTATGTTTGACATTTATCTTGAAATGACAATTACATGAGTGATGATGTTTAGATATATGATTACTGATAGGTGAGAACAGGTGGCATCGACGCCTCATCTAGTTAAGTTTCAGGCCATTACATATATGTATATATCATGTTTATTCCGAAGATTTGATATTTAAGTTTGTGTATTCCGAGCAGAAAATGAAGGTAATCGCTGCCTATTTGCTTGCTGTATTGGGAGGCAACGCATGCCCCACGGCTGAAGACATCAAAGCCATTCTCGGATCGGGTAATCAGTCTTGTTTTTTATCTATTTTTTCATGGTATTGCAAATTTTAATTTCAACAACCCATTAAGTGCAACCAAATCTTAAGTTCTATTCGAGCTTCACATTCTTTCTCATATGTTTTTGTCCTTTGTTTTTCATTTTGGCGATTGATTTTGATTAAGCATTTTTTATTCAGATGTATTAGAAGTTTCTCTTTTGTTGAAGTGCTACCGTCAGGAGATGGATGTGATTAAGAGATTGTAGTTCTGTTGTTTTAGTTTTCTCTCTTATAAGGATTTGGTGTGAATATCTTTAAATTATGTTGTAATTTATGCTTATGAAGTGTCTGGCATCTGGGTGCAATCATTTATTTTTTTGGTTGGAAAGTGCGTGCTATGTTGATTTTAAGTTTGTCAATGTGAAGAATAAGATGAGGGTACCCTATATTTTAGGAAATTGAGCGGAAATTCTGTGAACATGGTATGCTACTAAGTATTTGTTGGATGAATTGGTAAGTCTATGGATTCAGGATATAACGTTTTTCTGTCTAGAGGCTATGTTGAGGTTTGATTTCTGCTGTGGGAGGGGAAGCCTTGCAATGAAAAACTAATTTACTTTCGTGTTTTGCAGTTGGGGCTGAAGCTGAAGATGAAAGAATTGAGCTTCTTCTCTCCCAGGTTCATGGTAAGGATATAGTAGAGCTAATTGCAGCTGGAAGGGAGAAATTGGCTTCTGTGCCATGTGGCGGTGGCGGTGGTGCTGCAGTTGCCGCAGCTCCTTCAGCTGGTGGTGCTGCAGCCACACCTGCTGCTGAGGAAAAGAAAGAAGAGAAGAAAGAGGAGAAAGAGGAATCTGATGATGTAAGATTTTTTTGTTAAATAATCACTTCTTCCCTTTGCAAATATTAAAAATCTTTTTGATACTTACATTGGCTGTGTTTGATATTGTTTACAGGACATGGGTTTCAGTCTGTTTGACTAAGAAGTTGCATTGCTTATTGATCACCTCTCAAATGCAGTGAGCATGTGTTAATTTGAGGTTTAAAAGTCTGTAGTTGGTCCTGAATTTTAATTTTCTTTTTGAACTGTTGAAGTTTTGTTTAGATAATGAAGTGAGTTCAACATTGGAGCATATTTTGTTGCTGGATTTTGTCTCTTGCTTGTTATAGGCTTGTTCTTAAATATCATATAGATGTTGATTTTGTAGTTGCCAAAGTAATTGCTTTTTTTTATGGCCCCGAACATTCAGTTTGGTGGTAAATGGTAATCAATTAATCTATATTATTTTACGGATATCATAAAATTCTGTTTGTTTTTACTTCTAACATAATGGCATGGTAGGAGACGCTATCAGAATGGTAAAAATGAGATGTATTTTAAAAATTATTCAATTGGTGGGAGTTGATAATTTTTTTAAAATATGTTTAATTTTGTTGTACTTTAAATAAAAATTTTATTTTTATATAAATAATAATATTATATTTATTTTATTAAATATGAAATTTTAATTTAATTATATATAATAATTATTTATTTAAATATTAATTTATTATAATATATAATAAAATATAAATAAATTAATAATTTAATTTAAAATACAATATACTATTTACACTAATATATAATTATCTAAATATTAAAAAAATTTATCATTTTATCTTATGTCATTATTATTCAGTTATTAACATCGTTATAAATTAATTATTTATCATTAAAATTTAATTAAACATGACATAAGGGACTTTGACTTTTTGAATCCCCACCGTGGTAATGGGAGAGGGGAACATAGCCAAGTCAACTTGAAGTGATGATGGTTAAATTAATGAGTTGTTCCTTATTAATTAGTCACATTTTGGAAAATGATGAAGTTTTAGATGGTGCTTTGGGTATATCTCGGTGTCTAGTAAATGATAAGGTTTTAGAATTGGTAGTATTGGTGTGATAAAGTTCTGGAATTAGCTGTATCGGTATATTTGCTAAAGTTTCACAAGATTGATACATAATCGATCAAACACTAATAAGTAAATGATAGTATTGTATTTGTAGTTGTGGGCGTCAATGATCTAGGTTTATCAAACAGTAGAGAAGAGATTGAGATGTTATGGACTTCCTTAATGCAACTTTCATTTACCTTTTTATTACTTTTTCTGTAAGTTTAGAGATGTTGGTTTGGATTATGGGGAATTCACATCTCTAGCCCTGGTTTATGAAGAAAATTACTACAAATCACCAAGACTCTTGGAAGAAGTGGTTGAATTATTTGCCAAAGTCAACTTTCTTAATCTCTTTCCATCTTGATTGGGGTGGGATTTGCGCCTCTTTGCCAACATTTAATTTAATTAGAATTAGTGTTTGTTCTTGAGAAATAGACGTATTTATTTTCAGGATCTAATAATTTCAAGTAGCTAATTTAAAATATAAATCTTAATCCATAACTGATTTATCTAAATGTTAAGTGTAGAGTCTTGCAAACCAACATAGAGGGCCTTCCAACAATTACCTACTTATTCAGTGCCAGAAGTTTTAGATTTCATGTTATTTTGCTGATTCACATCTTTCTTCTTTTTGATATTTCTCCCTTTGAGATCTTCAATAGAGGTTTTTGTTTGTTCTTGTTGAATGTCATGAACTAGTTTCCTAATATAATATACTATTAAGTTTGGTTACATATGCTAATAAAATGTAGTTAGAAAAAACAAAGTAAATTTGGTCCTTCTTGAAACCGATTTTTAATGTCCAAATTTTGAAAAGAAACTTTTTATAAAAAAAAATTTATCATTTCCTTCTTTGTTTTAAAAATAATTGTGCTTAAAATATATATTAATCTCATAAGGTCTTAAAACTTTATAAATCAAATCTTTCACTAAAAAAAAAAAAAAATTGAAGAAAAATGTAAAGATTTATGTTAGTCACTTAAATAACATACTTTATTTTTTTTTTCTATTAATAAAGAAAATAAATTATCATGATAATAAATTATAATAAAAAAAACTATATATTTTTATTTTATAATAGTTAAAAAATTTTAAAAATTAAATAATAATTTACTTTAAAT